TACACTCTCTCAATATATATATATAAATTATATAAATAAAGGCAAAGAAAACCTTCCACCAGTACATAAAATGAGTAAAATTTCACGGCTTTTGAGTTTCTTTGGCTGTTGTCTTATCACTTGAAGGAGTAGCTGTTTCTTCATTTAAAAGAGATGAAGGATTAAGATGAAGGTTAAGAATGCCTGATCAAACTAGCTTAACATTTTTGTAAACACAGCAACAGGGAACTGTTCAAAAGGTAGAAGTAAAATCCACATTTGACAGATGCACTGTAAATAATTTCTGAGAAATATCACATTGGAAATTGAGGCAAAAAATCACGATGAGCTGAAAACCAGCTGTCTGCATGATTCTTTTCATGCTAAGCATGCTAACAGATATGTAACTTTCATAGTATTTTCTAAAATACTGTAACATTACATAAACTTGTGAAAGACATACGATTAATAAGCTAGAAAGGCTGAAACAACATCTTACAAAATTCCATCAAAAACATTTTTTTGGGGGTGGGGATTTGGAAACACTCCTCAGATATTACTTTAGCAGACTGGTAACATCCATGATGTGTTGAGAATACACTCGATAAAAACCTATGACAATATCAAATCCCAAATATTAATGTCTGAATCCTGCATTGTTAAAAATAATAAGAGTCACTGATTCCACTGGGAAGAGGATCAAGTTAGAACATGAAACCACTTGCCTCCACTACGGTTGGCAATCAAAAGACACCAAGGTATAAAGAATTTGCCTCTCTTCGTGTACCATTTTGCCAGCTTCTCTCTCAAATCATGCTCATCCTCAATCTTGATAAATGGATAAAATCTCATTACAGTACCTAACTGCTCTAATACAATATGAAAACAAAAATGTTAATTACTTAGATCACAACTAGATTGCTATATATCAGCTATTTTATTGAAAGGAAGGAGTCAGAGAGTTGTAGTCAATGGGGCAGAATCTGGTTGGAGGTGTGTGACTAGTGGAGTCCCACAGGGGTCGGTACTGGGACCGGTGTTGTTCAACATCTTCATCAACGACCTGGATGAGGGTATAGAATGTACCCTCAGCAAGTTTGCTGATGACACTAAGCTGGGAGGAGTGGCTGACACACCAGAAGGCTGTGCTGCCATTCAGAGAGACTTAGATAGGTTGGAGAATTGGGCGGGGAGAAACATGATGAAATTCAACAAGGGGAAGTGCAGAGTTTTACATTTGGGGAAGAACAACCCCATGTACCAGTACAGGTTGGGGGCTGAACTGCTGGAGAGTAGTGTAGGTGAAAGAGACCTGGGGGTCCTGGTAGACAGGAGGATGACCATGAGCCAGCAATGTGCCCTTGTGGCCAAGAAGGCCAATGGCATCCTGGGGTGCATTAGAAAGGGTGTGGTTAGTAGGTCAAGAGAGGTTCTCCTCCCCCTCTATTCTGCATTGGTGAGGCCACATCTGGAGTATTGTGTCCAGTTCTGGGCCCCTCAGTTCAAAAAGGACAGGGAACTGCTCGAAAGAGTCCAGCGCAGAGCTACGAAGATGATTAGGGGAGTGGAACATCTCCCTTATGAGGAAAGGCTGAGGGAGCTGGGTCTCTTTAGCTTGGAGAAAAGGAGACTGAGGGGTGACCTCATCAATGTTTACAAATATGTAAGGGGTGAGTGTCAGGGGGACGGAGTTAGGCTTTTCTCAGTGATGACCAGTGATAGGACAAGGGGTAATGGGTGTAAATTGGAGCATAGGAAGTTCAAGGTGAATATCCGAAAAAATTTTTTTACTGTGAGAGTGACAGAGCACTGGAACAGACTGCCCAGGGAGGTTGTGGAGTCTCCCTCACTGGAGACATTCAAAACCCACCTGGATGAGTTCCTGTGTGATGTACTCTAGGTGACCCTGCTCTGGCAGGGGGGTTGGACTAGATGATCTCTCGAGGTCCCTTCCAGCCCCTAAGATTCTATGATTCTATGATTTTAAAGATTTTTAACTCTGTTAAAACTTGTTACGGACCATCTATATTTTCCTGACAGAAGTAGGTTATCTATATAAAGTTTTCTGAGGTTTTAGCATTACTTCATTATTTTCTGGTTTTTTTCCTCTCCTATACAGAATGATCAATTACAGCAGTTCTTAAGAAAAACAAAAAAACCCCAGCAAACCAACAAACGCAAAAGTGAATTTCCCTGAGGGCAGACTAAGTAAATACAAACCCTTTCCTCACCTCTGGGATAAGAGTCCCAATGGAATGCCCTAGATTAAATCATTTTGCTGTTCTGAAATGTGCTGCTTTGGTGGTTCCCAGAGAGCTAGGCAACACTCATAAAAAAATAAGAAACACATTGGTATAGATGTCTTTCAGCTAAGGAACTCTATGTCCCTCCCTTCCCCCCCCTCCCTCCATACTCCAGAGGGCTTTTTTTGATACTCAGCAAACTGGGTATCACTTTCAAGGCAAAATACTAAGGCTGTCTTTTCACTGAACATACATATAAATACAGACTTCCACTCTCAACTGTGGGAGGGCAACAAAGGTATCACAATTTAGTAAGAGTTCGAAGCAGGAAAAGCCACTTGACACGAAGTCTACCATTGTCTACCATTATAAACCTCCCGAATTAGTTATTCTGTAAAACTTTCATCTAGAATAGTTATTTCAGTGTGAACTACCTTGTAATCACTTTAGTTCCAAACAAAACGTGTCTTTTTCTGAGTTACTGTGGTGCAAATGCAGTATATTCAAACATTTAGAAGAGAGAAACCTCTTGCCAGAAACAAGTCTTCACATATGAGCTCACATACAAGTAACAATTAAATAATGATAATTGTTTTGTTAAGGATAAAACGGTAATTTTTTTTTTGTGTGTTGATTAATAATGCCAAAACTAGGTTATGACATGCACGAAACATGAAAAAAAATAAAATTAAAAATCCTCTGTACCTTCACAGTTCTGACTTCTTATTTTGTTCTAACCTGCTGACTTCACTATTGCAGCTTTATTATTTGGCTGCCTCCAGTGTATAACCAGAGATCATCTACAACAGTCTGATTCTGCAGAAAACTACTGAGACCCCCACACCAACCTCTTGAAGTAAAATAACATGAAGTACTATATAGTGAAGAGATGAAGACATGAGCGTGACAGCCACTGTGAAGAAAGTAATTTTGAGGATTAAATTATATTAACAAACACCACTTCTAAACACATTTTATGGGTGCTGAGGCGACAGCTGCTGTGCCTGCAAATCTGACCTTTAATACACTTTGAATCAAAATAAAAATCTTCTGGGGGATTTATGAAATACAGATATTTATTTTTTAAATTAATTGCAGCAAATGTTTCAGAAGTTTCAAGCAGGCCCCGTGATTTACTCCGTGTATGTTCATTTTCCCCTGCTCTTTTGAATTTACAATAGAACTGTGCACAGAAAATCTGCCCTGATAGATGTGCTGAAACAAAAGGATGTAAAAACACACCTTGTGGCAAAGAAAATTTAAGCAGAGGAACTGCTAGCCTCCTCCTTCTTGTAATTTAGAAGCAGTGATATGTGGGTTTTTTTATAGAGCCACCCTTATGGTCTCTTTAATCTTCATGTCTGAGATGTAAAATGGAGAAAACTGAAATCCCCCATCTTTCTGAGCAGTTTTGAGATTGAAAGAAAAATTTAGTTACAAACTTCACAGTCACTACCAGTCCTTTTTTCTCAGTGAATCCTTTCACTGACTCCCATCTCACTGTGTACCTCAAAGATATATTTTTTTGTAATTTCTTTCATAACTCAACATTACTCTGACACTACTTCCTCTTGTTTCCCACCAATACTCCATCCCACTATCAGTTTTACGTTGAACTCTTCATGCTTTCACATTATTTGTCTGCATGCCTTTTCCCTTTTATCATCTTTCATGTGTTCCACATACTCCCCCATATTTCAGCTCCTGTTGAAAAATTATTTCTGCATTTCCTCCAGTGGAATTTCTAGTTGACTGACATTAACATGCATATTGATTTAAAACCCACCAGAGTATAATTTCCTTCAGCATAGGCCTGGCAAATCATCACCTCACTCACTTTGTGTGTGTGTTATACAACCTGAAGATCTACCTTCTGTTTCTGTACTTTTCACATGATCCTAAACTTCTAATATTTTCTGCCTGCAAAGTGCTTCACCTTTATGGAAGGCTATGTTCTAAACAAACAGCTCTTGCATGGAGGAGTGCTGAAAACTCAGCATTGAACAAGTAATTACATATAATCAGGCAATTATGAAAGTTTCCATTCTTTAGGATTTTTTTCCTAAAGCTATGACTCTTCCATTTGGAAATTAGCATGTCAGACTCACCAACTATAAAAGAAAGTACAGAAAACCTTACATCTATAACAGATTCCCTTCCTGCCTTAAATTCCTTAGAACAAGAAGAAATGAGCAGGTAGCATTAATTCCAACTCACTCCACTTTCACAAGACTAGAAAATGTAATCTTTTTATTTTTCTTCTTGTCTTAGAACTAGATTATGCACAGTAATCTTTTGGGCCAGCTCTGATGTGTGAATCTGTGTCTATTTCATGCTCACATTATTACATGGACTTACCTGTAACCTCCCTTAAACTTCTGAGAATGCAAAAAAAGTGAGGGAAGAAGACTGAAGAGTTTGTGGGGTTTTTTAAATCTGGAGTGAATAGTTCTTAGTCTATTACATATTTCAGTAGTTGGAACAAGTTAGACTAAAAGAAGAAAAAAATACTATAACATGACAATATTAGTCAGTGAATTATGATGGAGTTTCTATGTATGTTTATAACATAAGATACTCTCCCTTACTTTAAAACCTTTTTCATCACAGTTCTGACACAGTTTACGATTCAACTGCAGTAATATGGTTAAAACATAAAACTTTTAATTAATTATCTCAGGCCTCCCTCTTCATAGGAAATAATCAAGTATACTGAAAAAAATTTTAAGAGGTATAATTAAAATAACACCTAACTTCAATAAAGATAAAATAAGGCTACTAACCCATGACATGAACAGCTCCTCTATGCTTCTTCGAAATCTTGTTTGCCTTAACGACATGTAAAGCATTTTCTTTGAACTGCAGCTCACAAAGTCTTTCAAGAAGAACTGTCATTTCTTCAGTGATGGTGTCCAGATAAGATTCATTAATAAACTTCAGTGATGAAGAAGGATCAATAGTTCCACTTAGTAGACACAAATCCTCTTTTATCATTGTGCACAGTCTGGGTATGGAACTTTGGTAACCATGAACCACCTTATCAAAATTTGTTTCACCAGAACTAGACAAAATACAGTTCTGTAGAAGTTCACTGACAAATTTATTCTGCATATTTTGATACTTTGCTAAGACTTCTGACTCAGGATAAAGAAACAAAAGTTGCTGTATGCACTGGGTTTTAAACTCCATTTTTTGTTGCAAAGCATTAGTGTTCGTATCTCCTTGGCTTTGCAGCCTATTTACTAAAAATCGTCGAAGGTGCAGTCTCACATCATCCCAGAGAGATTTCACATCCATAGTGGAATCATCCTCAACAGCATGAAGGGAAGATGTTAGCTCAAAGGACATCCCACTGGGAGTACAGGGAAACGAGACACCACACTGACTAGAGAGATCCAGAAGGAAGTGAAGTATCATTTCCTCTTGATTCTGCTCATTCTTCAGCAAGCTTTGCTAACAAAGATAAATCAAACAGTATTTTAGAAACGTTTTGTTAATTCTGATTCATTAGGTGAACAGCTTTATGCTAGAGAACTGATAGTTTCCTACCAGCAAATAAGAGACTCAAATAAATTACTGTATAAAAAACCAGAAACAGTAAAGCCTGTTTTCCCATGGATTTATGCACCAATTCATCTCCTTGTCTACCTGCTCCAATATCACACATTCTTCTTCCCAGCTTTCTTACATCCTCAATCACTTTTCTCAATCAATTGTAATGCACAATTCAAAAGAAAGCTTTGTGAAGCTCATTAGGTAGGCCTTGGCAGCCTGTTTGTTGTGGTCCACATACAGTCATCTTTGAAAGAAAATTGTATGAAAAATTACTCAAGGTTTACTCAGATAATGACAGGTTTTGCTAATAAACCCAAGACAGTAATTTATAAAATGAAACATTGCTGTTTTCTGTGTTTTGCCTCAGCATCCAACCATCAAAAAGGGCATTTTAAAGATAAAATAATCTTCTCAGGACCCCCTGAAAGAACTAAAATTGAAAACATGTTAAGAATTGAACCTGCTTAGATCACACAGGGCAGAAGAATATGAAGCTGTGTAACCTGTCAAACCAAGATGCAGACTGATACATTAACAATGAAGTGACCTCTAAATACCTCTCAGCTGTCTGTGTTGGAGAAGGAGGCCAGTTAAGAGAGCAGGTGGAACCACATGGGTGCACGTGCTGTTCCTACTTCACTAGAACCTGGAGAGCTCCATTCTTGGTCCAGGGCCAGGATCTCTGACCTTAGAGCTGCTTTGAGGCCATGCTGCAAACAGCAGGTCCTCTTGTCACATTTCAAGGTTTCCTACTTGGCCCAGAATTATACAAATTTAATCAGAACTCAGCAGCTTTCCTACATGTCTACGAGACAAATCATTTGCATGAAGAAGGAGTGTCCAATACCTGAGTAGAACAAAACTCCAAAGTCCCACGCTCACGGGACACCAAAATCTCCTTCCTCTCTGACAAAAATCACTTGCATGTTACAAACACATTTCCCCATTCTTAACATTTTTCCTACTGCAGGCTGGCTTTGGCCACAGTCCTCAGTCCCATAACATTTTATTTGTGAAGACCTGCTCTCCACCCTTCAGCTGCACTAGAGCTAATTACAGATTTCCCCATCACAGTCACAAGAAAACTGAGTTAAATTGGTGGTACTCTTGGATTTCTGGGTTTCAGGATCCAAGGTGGTTGGGTGGAGCAGGATCTAGAAGCCCCCTCACTTGCTCCTCCACCTCCTATTGCTTCTCTGCAACACAGAAAAGTGTGGTGGCAACTCACAAAAGGGCAGTTCTTCCCACTCATGTCCTTTACCTGGGTGTCTCAGCTACAATACATACTAAAGCAAGGATGATAAAGCAAGTGTTGGTAACCTTCCACCTTCAGAACTGCTGATTTATTTAACCTACAGTATTTGAGGAAATGAGTAATTTTATTTCTATTTTGAAAGAGAGAGACACGAATCAAATTTGAATATGGTCTTCCCACATAGGCCAACAGCCCCCCTGGCATTGGCTTGTGACAATTTCCAAATACAAAATGAGAAATTTCTCAACTGTAGCAAACTTTTCTAAACAGATGATTTATTAAAATATTAAAAAGACAAAATTTAGAACAAAAACTTCAGTGGGATTTTTTTTTCTTCACCCTCATGTTTTTGAGTCACGAAAATATTCAGTATCAGAGCTCCTATTTTTTGTTCAGCATGATTCAAAACTGTTGCACTCTTATGGGAGAGAAAAAAAGAGTTTAACTTTCTTATTGCCCTTGACTCTGGAAGGTTCCATGGGGTTCTGGAGGGTTCCAAATAAAAGACTTGCACCACACTAGCAAACTGTGAAGAAAAGACAGAGAACATGGTTGCCTACCCAAAAAAGAAACTCTTCAAAATCATAGTCTAGCTATTTTTCTTCTGGTTTACATCTTTATTTCAGAATGCTTCCTATTAATTTGTTTCACTGACAAGCAGGAAACACATGTGGAAGACAGAAAAATAATAGATATTATCAGTCAAATATCATCCTATATTAGCATATGTATGTGACAGAAATATGTATAACTAGTTAAAATCTAAATTATACATATCAATATGCATATACATGAGGCTGATTTTATTTTGTTATCTACTGAAGTATTCTATGAAGTTTTGTGGTCCCAAAGAGGATGTGTCTCAGTGTGTAAATTGAAACTCTAACCACTAACGACTGTGTTGAAGAGTCAAAGCACCACAGACAGAATTCTGGAGTTTAAAGGTTGACTTTTTAATCAGTCATGCTCAATACTATATTCTGAACTGAACAAAGCAAGAGAAGCTCTCCAAACAGTGAATGTAACTCTGATGCCTTTGGATGATAAATCCAAAACATTTTCCAAACAAATTCCCACTCGTGTTTTTTAAGGTTAAGCAGAAACATTTTTATTCATGAAGGCCAATAAGAATCCAAGTATTGTTTAAAGCCCTTTGCAACTTAAACTAAAGCATCAAAAATAGGAAGCTTGCAGATGCCATCTTAAGACAGTGTTACTCAGGAAAGGAGCCCCTGAAGTGAACTTTGAAGCTCTGAAAACACAGTAACATCAAGTTCCTTTGAACATTGCCTTTATTGACATAGGCTTTTCTATTTTAAAATTAAACTGCAAAAATACTTCAAAAGACGATGCCAAAACTATTCAAGAGAAAAAGATCCAAATTAGTATCCAGAGGTTTTAGAGAAGCATGAAAAGTTCTCTTATGAGCACGGAAATTAGTGACAGTAATATATAGGAAAACATCTTCAGCCTACCAGCTGGACTACTACCTACTACAGCCTCAATAAACAACTATAAAAATATGAAGATTTTGTTAAAAAAAGATTTTGTCATAAGTTCAGCA